CCGTCCAACCAAGGACGAACAGTGCAAGTTTCAGAGAGGGAGACCAATGACACCCTGCAGAGGACCACTAGAGGATCAGACTGGATCAAGTCGGCTGGAAAACGATGTGCGTAAACTCGAAATACAGTCAGTCTCATAAGTAGACTACGGATCTTCATGCAAAATAAAATCTTCGCGAACGTGCCTAGAGAAATTGAACCTAAATAGGAATTTATTTTAATCTGCCAATATTATAATACGAACTTTACTTTCAATCTTTTTTGTATCCTTGGATACTGTTTGCATTTTATAGGTTCTTGTACATTCAAATCCGCAGTCTACTCATAAGTACTCGTACCCTTTATATGTAGATAGAATAAAGTTCTCCAAATTAGATGATAGGTTTCATGTTCTCAAATAAATATTTCATTATAAATACGTGCACGAGTAAACTTGACACATTTATTTGGAAACATCAAACCTATAATTTAATTTATACAAATTCTTCAATAGACGTGGAGAGTACGCATATTTATGGAACTGATTGTAAATAAAACAGGCAAAACTGCACGATCCTAAAGTATACTCTGAAGCCACGTTCACTTTGTACTCGATATCAGGGGTTTTATTTAGTCCAGAATACATAACAGTCCATGAGAAAATAGGGAAGGTTTGAGTCACCATTTTGTGAGGTTCCAGCTTGTTCAAAAAATAGAGACTCTCGGAGTGAGCATTTGTATAAAATAGTTTCCGTTGGGGCTTTGGAAAGACCTCTTCGATCCTTCTAGACTAAGACTCCTAATCTAAGAATCTGAATAATCGCAGACGACCCTTACAACCAACCAACATCAAACGGCGATGCTGAACACCTAGACGGCGAGCCTCTGGACGAAGGAGGGAGCTATTCCGGAGAACAATCATTCTTTTCCGAGCACGGTGGTGGTGTTCCGCAGGAGGGCCATGTTCTGGGTCACCACGTGCACCAGGACGTGCACAAAATGGTGACGGTAATACAAAACCTTGAACTCGAAGTTTAGCAAAGATCGACCCGAATACTACAAACGAATACTACAACAAATTTCCTGTTTCAAACGAAGGTGATAAAGAAGGTGGCGGTCCCGTACCCGGTCGTGAAGAATATCCCGTACCCCATCGTAAAGAACGTGCCCTACCCTGTCAAGGTACCAGTACCGCAGCCGTACGCAGTGGAGAAGGAGATACCGTACCCTGTGAAGGTCTACGTGAAAGTGCCCATGAAAATTCCCAAGCCCGTACCAGTGATCAAGGAGATACCGTACCCTGTCCACGTGCCCGTGGATCGTCCGGTACCAGTCAAGGTTTACGTTCCAGAGCCTTATCCTGTCGAGAAGAAGATTCACTACGGGGTGAAGGTCCCCGTACCTGAACCGTTCCCCATCGAACGCAGGATACCGGTCCCGGTGAAGGTTCCCGTGCACGTGGCCCAGCCTTATCCAGTGGATAAGATCGTCCACTATCCTCTGAGGATCGAGGTGGAGAGACCTATTCCCGTCCCTGTACCGAAGCCTTATCCTGTCGCAGTGGCGAAACCTGTGCCCTATCCAGTGGAAAAGCCCGTACCCGTGCCCGTGAGGGTCGAGGTGCCTCGACCAGTGCCAGTACCAGTCGACAAACCTGTTCCCGTCAGGGTTAAGGTCTCGGTGCCGACGTTCTATCCCGTGGAGAAACACGTACCGTACCCGGTAGAAAAACCGGTGCCTGTACCCGTGAAGGTGCCAGTCGACAGGCCTGTACCCGTTCACGTGTCCAAACCGGTGCCCTATCACGTCGAGAAGCCTGTCCCTTATCCCATCGAGGTACCAGTTTCTGTACCTGATCACAGCGAGGAGAGCGGGGCGGTCTCCTCCGAGTCTGAGCATCAGGATTGGTCACGGTGAACCGATAGTACACATTTGGTTAAAGATGATAATAAGAAGTAACTGTTAAGAGTTTTAGGTCGTTCCAAAAGTTCCTGCCATTTATACTTTTATTTCTCAAACGAATATGCGAAACATACTCTTAAGTGTCACAAGAGAAGATAATCTGTCTCGTTTCACAATAGTTTCTCGCCTCTCTCACGTAGTCATTATACTGTTACTAGAAAATTTTCTTTGGTTTTCTATTAAATTTCGACACAGTCTACGGCACGAACTTATGGGACGACTTGATATATTTCCCTTACTTTCTGCAACGTTGTTTGCAAATAAGGAAGTCGCAAGTATTTTAAGTAAATTTAGAGATAACTGGTATGGTACATAAGGCTTTGAAACGACGACGTTGCGTATGCGATTACGCAATGAGAGGATATTTATTTGTTTCGTGAAATTAGAAGGTTAGTTGTTATGGAGTATAGTGGCAAGGTGTGCATGAGAACCACCCTGTATATAATGATGCATATACATCGTATATTTGGAATTATAAATTAGTACAACGATGAATGAGTATGGAGGCTATCATTGATCCAATTTCATCATCTTTTCATCGTAATATTTCCCTCGAGATATTTCGTTAGGTTCAAGCAGGATCAGTGTTACGAGAAGATTTCTTGAAGAAGTGCAACCATTTACACTGTCTTCATGCTTTGTTTCGCTCAACTACAGGTATCTTTCTTTGTTTACTTTCGTATATATCCGAGACAGCGAAAAATACACGGAGAATTATTCAGAAATCCTGTGCAAGACTCCGGTATTACTTTCCGAAGATCGACAGGACACAAAACAAGATCCTCTAACTACGCTAAATCCACCTGAAAACAAGCAACGCCATCTTTCTCACGCTGCAACTCCCGATAGAATTGCGATAGAATTGCACCGCATGCAGCAACCTGCATCGCGTATCGACGGTGTTCTTTTATTCTAGTGATTGCATACTCCGCGAGAGGTTGTTCTTTGCAAAAATAAACGAATCCTCCTCAAATAGTCGCAAACCTGTTCTCCGATTAATTTCCATCGCTATCTCATTGCGAGCGATTTTCGATACGTTTGATCGCCGACTACGATGTGAAAGCGTAACTCAGTTTTAATTCCGCGCGAGTATGGTAATATTCCGCTGCAAAGTAGCGAGTCAACCTGGAAACCAGTACTTCCTCGAACGTGCAATTTAGATCGACGTCGCGAGAGCTTCTCTCCATAAAAACAGCGGAATCTAGAAGTCGCCAATTCCATTCCGCTCACGTTTCTCCGCGCCTCGATGAAATTGCAATCGCGTCCGGCTGTGTCGTAATTGATTCGCGTAAAATAAACGCCATAACTTGGAACCTTGATCGACGCTTTCCGCACGATCGATATTAACGTCGATGGCTGGAGGTGACCTACTTTGAGCTTAATTAAAGATTATGTGCTTCAAACGAGCACAGTTTCAAATAAAAATTTCGAACGCAGTTTACTGAGCAAAGTTTTAAAAACGAGAGTCGCTCGAGAATGGTACTTGTATCGACAGTTTTTTAAGAAACCAGCTTCTCATATCGCAAATAGAGAATGACAAGCGGCGTACAACGGTTTCTAATTCATCCGAGAGAATAGAGGAAGAAAGTGGCGCGGTTCAAGATGGTAAAGCGCACGGAGAGAACTTTTATACCGGTTTCAATTTCTCTGAACTTGCACGAGAAACTCGTGCGATCGACGAGGACTAAGAACGAGGAAAGAGACGTGAGGCGACTGAGTAAACGATGCCGTCTAATATAAATTCCGTGGCAGCGAAATCGCGAGGAGCGTTTTGATTGTTATTCGGCATTCCATCCGTTCCAAATTCAACGAAATGAGCCCTATTAGGCGGGTCCGTTTCGACCATCCACGAGGAAATGAACTATCTTCGGAATCTTTCTAGAACGATGCTACACGATGATGTTCACGATTCGATGTAATTGCAGTGTAAAATCTGTAGTGATTGCGTCTGTTGGATATTTCGACAGATAAATTCTCTCCACAGAGACAATATATTTAAGAAACAGAAAATAATTTAGATACATGTTCTATGACGATTAAATTTGTCCTCTGCGCGATAATAACGACCGAAATAGTTGAGATCGGCAGAATTATCGATCGGAAAGACTCGAACAGAAGCCACAGTGAAACCTTGAAATTATGCTACACGGTTTATTCTCGCAAAACTGCAATAGTATCAAAATAATGGCGAGCAAACAAGCAACGTTGCCCTCTGTGCTAGAGTCATATTAGTAAATTTTAAGTTGTCCCAAAAGTTTCTTCCATTTCCTTAAATAGTAATACATGCACAACATTTTATGTATAATGTTCCATCATTGAGTTGCGTACAATTCATTTTGCTCCGTTATAGTTACGAAATTAACATCTAAGAAATTAGGTTGACTAATTCTATAAACAGTGCCACACAAAATAACTGAATGCAAGTCACGGAAGAAACTTTTGCGACAACCTAATAAATTATTGTTATTCTCAACATATGATTAGATAGTCTACTCGAGCAGAAAGAGGAAACAACAGGTTTGATTATTCCACGAAAAGGGATCAGAGCGTTCCGTGACAAACGATCCAAAGCAACCGCGTCTTCCTGTTGGTGCAAGATTCGCCCGGTTTTACGATTGACCATAGAAAGCGAAACATTCGCTTTCATCTGTCAAACGTGAATAGCGTCGCCATTCTGGCGTGCTTTTCATGAGATTAACGAACCAGAACCCGGCAGTCGGCGATCTTGTCTCGTAAATATTAACATCAGATATCCCGACGTTTATCGAAGAATTTGACGAAGGATCGCGTAAACAAAAATCCTTCTGCAAAATCACAGTTGAAAATGGAATGGAATTCTACTGATCGACTCAGGTTTGGTTTGACCTTCGATCCTTAAAAAGATCACGATTAACACACTGATAGATAAATCACGTAATGTTTTCACAAACCAAGCTTCGATTCTTTAGAGATCTACGCAAAAATGAATAACATTTCCATCACTCAGAAATCAACGAAAGCCAAGAGTTCTTCCGTGACGATAATTAGACGTTCCCCTAAATTTCTTTTCTACCCGCGCAAAACCATTTTACGAGTCAAATAACCAATGGCCGCGCTTCCGCGGTGTCGGGCTCCCGTGCGCCAATTTACGCGAGAAATAACGGTCGCCTAACCGTGGATAATTGTCACGAAGAAGGTAACGCGAGCCTATAAAGGACTAAGCTGGTCGAACAGGCGAAAGTCGTGGACGGTATATAAATAATACTGGTGCACCGTTCGGTTTGGATTCAGTGCACCTTGATCCATCGCCTCGCTTGGAACTATCGTCATGGGACGTTCGGTTGGTAGCTTGACCTTTCACCTTCCTTCTCTTCCTGATAAACTGTAATCTCTGTCGATATGGAACGGAAGGTAGAAGGTCGACAGGTGGTCTGTGTTTGTTTGGTAACGCTTGAATGTAGGATAAAGTATTGGGTTGTCTGGAAAGTCCGTGCCGATTTTTGATAGGTGGTACACGTTTGTTTATATTGGAATGGTTGAAAACAATTAACATGGATGCAGCTCTTAAAAGGTGGAAAGGTCGTGGAACAAAATGGTATTTATATAATTCAATAAATATATATCAAATATAAATATATATCAAAATTCAAATATGCCTTTGAATTTTTCTTAAAAATTGCCACGAACTTTCTGGAACACCTAATAGATTTTATCATTTAAAGGATTCGATCTTCAAGCAGAGATGGCCGGAACCCTAGGTTTCGAATAAATCTGAAGTTTGGCGATGTGTTTGTCTCGTTTCCTTCTTTAAAAAAATGTTCAAAAGACAAAACGAGAAAAACATATCAGTAAACTTCAGATTTATTCGAAGCCTATTTGTCCATCACTGTCTTCGAGGTACTCCCAAACGAACTTGGACGAATGGTCGACCTTTTAGCTACACGCCACAATTGTGTTCTCCCTCGATCGACGAAGTCTATTCCTAACTCTACTGCTAACTTTTCATACCGTTTTCGTCGACAGCAAAGCGTCGTCGCGTTGCTCTGCCTGTTGATAGGCCTAGCGTGCTCGGCCAGTCGCAGAGAGGATCTGGAAAGAGCCGCGGAGCTGGCAGTGGAGAGAGCAGCGGAAAGGGCTGCTGAGAGGGCAGTGGAGAAAGCCCTGGAGAGTGGAAACACCACCACGGTAACGGAAACCGTGAAGGACACCCACTCCAGCGTCAGGAAGGCGTCTTACCGCAAGGACTTTAACGACGACCGGTCCGATTACTCCTCCTCGATGGAAAAGAAGGATACACAGGACGAAGACTGGAGGAAGTTCTCGAAGAGCCTCAGCGACGGTCCTTTCGGGGGCTGGTCGAGCAAGATGGACTGGAAACGGTTCCCGAGAAGCGAGGGATCGAGCCGGAGTTACGAGGCCTCGCCGTGGGAGAATCCGAAAGTGATAACGATAGAGAAGAAGGTGCCAGTGCCTGTGACCGTCGAGAAGAAGGTCCCGTACACCCTGTACAAGCCTGTCCCGTACGAGGTGAAGGTCCCGGTACCTCAGCCGTACACGGTCGAGAAGAAGGTACCGTATCCTGTGAAGGTGTTCGTGAACGTACCGGTCGAAGTGCCAGAGCCTTATGTAGTGGAAAAGAGAGTGCCGTACGAGGTGAAGGTCGATCGACCTGTACCGTACAGACTGGAGGTTCCAGTCCCTCAACCGTACACGGTAGAGAAAAAGATACCAGTGGAGGTGAAGGTGCCGGTACCTCAGCCGTACCTGGTCGATAAGGCAGTGCCCTACGAGGTGAAGGTGCCCGTGAAGGTACCAGAGCCTTACGAGGTGGAGAAGAAGGTACCAGTCCCGGTTAAAGTCTTCGTGGACCGACCTTACCCGGTACCAGTGCCCAAGCCGTACCCTGTCGAGGTCGAGAAACCTTATCCAGTGCCTGTGGCTAAGCCCTATCCCGTCAAGATCAAGGTACCGGTCGACAAACCTTATCCGGTACCCGTCGAGAGCCCTATAGCCGTTCCAGTGAAGGTCCTAGCGCCCCAACCCTACCTCGTGGAGAAACCTGTCACGGTGGAGGTGAAGAAACCCTACGCCGTGCACATCAAGGTGCCAGTGGACAAACCATACGTGGTGCCCGTGCCTAAGCCAGTACCCGTGACAGTGGAGAAACCCTTCCCCTACTGGGTACAGGTGCCCGTTAAAACCAATTCGGATTGGAACGCGAAGGAAACTCACGAATTCAGCGATAGGAATGGCTCGAACAAGAAGGAAGATCGTTCGAGAGCTGGCGACGAGAGCAAGAAGTCGAGCAGGCCTCGCAGGAGACCTCACTGATTGAACGTATAAGTAGGATTCACAGAGACAGCTTAGGGGTAGTGTTTAGTTTATTTATTTTCGAGTATCCGTGACTCGTGCGAGAAGGGGAAAATGGGATGGATGCTGGGACGACTGATGTTTTTAATAAATTTTCAAGCTGAAACAGTTTACGATGAATGCTTCGTATGAACGAATGAATAAAAGTGGGAACCGATGTGAAATATATAACAATTTGTTACTCGTAAATAAATCTCGAGGATATGTTCGTTATTAAAAATAGAATCGATTCTCAGCTACTTTCGTTACCTAATAATTCTAAGCACATCATTAACGTTAGTCATCAACGATTACCTCACCGACTGAAGTCTTTTCCCTTCGACGTGATGGAGAGTGGCACGAATACAGTTAAATACATGTAAAGCACACGCAGTGTACACAAAGTACTCTATCCTTCGGTCTCATTAACTCTCCACGTAATTAAACGCTCGAGCGCCCGCGATCGCGTGAATTTCCCACGATTCCGATACACGTACACCTTTGATCCGTTTTTTCTTTTTTTTTTTCTGAGAAATTCCTCGCGAGGAAGCGCTCGCCGCATCGCATTTACCATCGCGATCGCGAATTCTTCACGCGTTCCGGCGCGTACGCAACGGAATACGGAATATCGCAGCGGTAAAATCGAGCAAGGCTCCTGCGAGCGCCTTTCCCCGATCAGGAGAAGAGCCGCGAGTCTCGTTGAAAAATTATCCGACGATCGAGAGTCGTAAATTCTCGTTTAATTGTCCTCGTGACAGCGGATACTCTGCTTCCGTTTACGTAAAACGGCTACAGTCGATTTCGTTTTCAGGAAAAAGTGTACTTATTTATTTCTACAATGCATTAGCAATCTTTTTTCTATTATGTATTGCACGAACAATTCACTCTCTTTGTTTAGCTGAACGAAGAGGATAAGCATCGTTTTACTTTGCAATTCTTTATTCAGCCGAGTAAAGAAGATAGGTAACCGTTCTTGCCGTCAACAAAGCTGTCTCGAGAATAAACAAGAAGGACGTAAATGTCCAAGCTATCGTTATCCAGACTTTACGAACGTAAGGCTTCTAGTAAGGATTGGAAAGTCTCGTATTATACTTTACAAGCCTCTTCATCGAGTCACAGAATAAACAAATAAGTTTACGAAGTTTGTAACTTATCCATTTTCTGAAATTAAAAGTGAGACGCTTCTCTGCTGGATGTCTAATAAAGAAGCCAACGACTGGTTTCGCTGTACTTCCTCTAAATTTTCCGAGACTCAGAATGCGCACGCAGCGCTGCCTGAACTTGTATCAGTTATTTATGGACAGGAAACCTTCACATTTTAATTGAAACTCGATGGTCTCGGGTTTCCACTTGCCTCTCAAAGTATCGGAAGCCTACGAGAACGCCAGATTCTGACAGGATGATTGCTACCGAATACACTCTCACCGTCGATGCTGCTTTCCCACGTTTCAAAACGTCTAATAAATTTCTTCTGCGATAGTGCTCGAAACGATACCGTGGATTCTTGAAACAAATTCCTGCCTTTGCATAGCAATCAAGCTATCAGTTTCGCTTGATTTAGATAGGAGAACTCTACGCTAGAGGAATCAGGGTCCTCGGTGTACTTTTTCGCTTTCGTAATCAATTGGTGGGCGATGCCTAAACTGCAATTAAGTTTTCATCGAAACCAGAGAGAGACGTGTATCTTTCGCCGAGACTTTTACCTTGTCCAAACTATCTCTGATTACGTACAGCACGTAATAAATCGATCTTCTTCGGTTCGTGCTACTTGGCAAATGCTACTTTTCCTGGACATTGGTTTATTTTATAACGCGACCTTTTCCCAAGTATCAAGTAAACGCGAAATTACCAAACTTCCTGTTTTTTTCCGATTATAAACAAAATTCCACTTTTCCATTCTCAAGTAATTACTTCTTCACCTTTGCCATTTAAGCATTTCATTTCTTTTTTAATTATATAATATTTGCCTACTTGCTGAACTAATGTACCATGACAATTCCAAAACGAGGTGAGCTTTTACACTAGGAGCTTTGCACTAGAAGTGAGCTTTACACCAATTATCACACCAATGATTTTCCCGTGATCCCCGAACAAAAAATTGAAAATCGAATAGATTGAAGCAAACGCGTAATTAACGATCGCCGACGGGCGGCGATAGATCTAACGGGGATCTATGCGATCAATCTCGAGCCCGGTGTGGATTTCATCCATAGTTACCAACACGCCCGATCGTATATCCAGCTAGCCCCCTCTATCGAACGGACTTTCCCTCTCTCGCAGCTTTTCATTTTCTGCTACCCTCCCTCCAGGGTCTCTTCCTTCCTGTAGCTCTCCTTCTCAGACCAAAGGACCTCGTCTCGGACGAGAGGACTCGACCACGGGACTGGAAACGTCGCAGTCGCGCGCCAGTGTCTCTCCGTGGGGACCGGATGAAGAGGGGGCACGAGTCCTGTCGAGAAACTTTGAGGCCTGGAAGGAGCTGAAGTGAAAGACAGAGACAGGACCCTCGGAGGCTCTCGGTGGCTCGAGTACGAATTCGCGGGCCCAGTGGCGTAGCCCAACGGTTCAAACCTAATCGAAACGTTTGGCGCAGTCGTTAATCGATCCAAGCAATCGCGTAACAGGTGGATAGTTCATTTGTCCAAGTTTGTTTGGCAATTTTATGACTTTCTAACGATGGTGGAGATAAGGAGGAACAAGGATTATATTCTTCCTATCTCGGCCATCGTTAGAAAGCAGCTAATAGGCGGCTCGTATTGGCGAGCAAATATGGACAAATTGGCTGTCTTACGTAATTACTTGTGGATCCATCAAGGACTGCTGATTTCGAACAGTAGCCGGAACAGGACATAAACGGCTTGCTTGTTTCGTTATTAACGTCCCCTGTTTAAGGAATTCCTGAATTTATGAAAATATCGAGAACCACCAGGTCGATCGAGATGATCGAGCCACGAAAATATAATTCTGGTTTGGTTGCGAGCCTCCTTCTGATGATGGTCAAGATAATAGTTAATTGAATATGAAAAGTGCATCGCAAGGTTCACGTTTTCTATTCAATGAACAAGGAGGAGCCTCGGAGATCATATCCTTCTCCTTATCTCTACCATCAGAAAGCGATGGATACCTCGAGTTGCTAAACAAACTCGAGTAATTGTTCCTAGCTAATCATCGCACAGCCCGCGATGGAATCTGCGCAGGATCCTTTACAGGACATCTTTCATCACTCTTCTTTTCACCGAAGGTTACCAAACGTAAAATCGATTCGACGAGATTCGCGAACCTATCGACACCTTCTGTTGGAATATTTACTATAATTTTATTTTACTACAAACAAATGTACCGAGAATAATACAGTGGCAAGCATATAAACAGGGAAAATTGATAATACGTTGTTCTGCAAACCCCATTGGTATTTCTCCTTTAGTCTTTACATACTATAAAAGTACATTTCTTAAACTTTACAGTGCTACATAGTTTTCATTACTAATTCCGTTTAATGAATAAAAAAAAAAAAAAAAAAGAATTAGTAGGCTTGAAATAAGGACATTTTTAGGGAGCATCTAAACAGGGAACTACAGAATTATTTAACGAAAGAGAAAGTTTATGCCTGCCCTCTTATGTGTCTGAGAGGACACCTATAGTTTCCTAGAGCCTAACCAGATGCGCGAAAACTGCAGTATAAGTCTAGAAATTCTTTCTACCCCTTTTAATCTTGAGCAGCTCCACGTAGAGAAAAGGTCTCAGCTTATTCGTGTCATTTTAGTAATAAATATCGAAACTTTGAATTGATAAATCTAGTACTTCGTCATTTCGTTATACCCAATTTCCGAAACTTTCTTCCACCCATTTCTCTCGTTCATGTTATCATCGTCTTACATTTCGGTGACAGTTGCGTCGAACGGTAGCCAAAAGCACAGTGTCGTTACGTCACTGTTTGCGTCACACGATTTTACAAGGTGTCGTTGATGGATCAATTAAGCTACCGCGTAGGCCTGAGTCAAGGCGCGTCTCTTCCGTGCCTTTCACCCTGGAAGAGGATCCAGGCGTCGCCTACGCCACTGCACGCGGTTATGGAACCAGCGTCCTGGCCACCTAGGATTCAGAAAAATTCTATAACGTCGCGCGAGTGGCCGCTCGCGCCGTGTACGCGCGTGTTTCACTTTTCCGCGGAACTTACACGCAAGGGGGGCTCGCTCGCTGGCTCGCGATGCGCGTCGGGGGAAAGCGGACTATAAAGACGGTGGAGCCTTGGGGGGAAGTATCCAGTGAAGTCTGGGCTTCGACCAGTTATCGAAGTGCCTCCGCGAACATGAAGATTTTGGTGAGTAAGGAAACACCTATCCTCCGAACACGCCTGGTGTCCACTTGGTAGGCTTTGCTCGTGAGAATTGGCATCGAGAGCGAGAGTTTTTCGAGCCGAGGAGCTTCTTAGGCTCTCGATAGCTGGTCTCGCGTGGGAACTTTACTTTCGAGAAACGGTATCGAGAGTAAGAGTTCTTTAAAGCGAGAATTCCAGCGCGCCTCGCTCTCGATAACGATTGCTAGGAGCAAAGATCTCCAACTTTAGTTCGGAATAGTCAAGTATCTTTGTATTCTACCAATTCCATCGATTCCAGCTCCTCACAATCTTCCTGGGCCTGATGGCCACGGCGCTCAGCGAGGAGGCCAAGAAGAAAGACACCGAGGTCAAGGACTCGAACACAGAGAAGAAGCAGGATAAACGGGGCCTCAGCCAATACGAAGGAGGCTACGAAGGTGGCGATTACGGCGGAGGACACGAACTGTCGATATCCGGAGGAGACTCGTCCGGCTACGGTGGCGGATACGCTTCGGACTACGGTGGCGGTTACGGCAGTTACGGCGGAGGCGGAGGCGGAGGCGGCGACGAACACAGTAAAGTAAAGGAGATCACCATAGTGAAAAGCGTGAAGGTTCCCTATCCGGTCGAGAAGAAGGTCCATTACCCCGTGGAGAAGAAAGTACTGTACCCCGTAAAAGTCCCGGTACCACAGCCGTACCCCGTCGAGAAGAAGATACCAGTCCCCGTGAAGGTTCTCGTCAAGGTCCCAGTGCACATCCCCCAGCCCTATCCGGTGGAGAAGAAGATTCCGTACCCTGTGCAGGTGCCAGTCGAGAGACCCGTGCCTTACAAGGTCTACATCCCTCAGCCCTATCCAGTGGAGAAGAACATCCCGTACCCTGTGAAGGTTCCCGTACCGCAACCCTACCCGGTGGAGAAGCCTGTTCCGTACCCTGTGAAGGTTATCGAGCACGTGCCACAGCCGTTCCCGGTCGAAAAGGCAGTACCGTACCCGGTGAACGTACCCTTCGACCGACCGTACCCCGTTCACGTGCCCAAACCGTACCCAGTTCCAGTCGAGAAGCACGTACCAGTGCCCGTTGAGAAGCCAGTGCCCTACCCTGTGAAGGTTCACGTGGAGAGACCCGTGGGAGTGCCCGTCGAGAAGCCAGTGCCTTACGAAGTCAAGGTACCTGTCCCAGCGCCCTATCCAGTGGAGAAGCACGTCGCTGTCCCCGTGGAGAAGCCCGTGCCCTACGCGGTCAAGGTGCCCGTCGAGCGACCTGTACCCGTGCAAGTCAACAAGCCAGTGCCCGTGGAGGTGGCCAAACCTGTGCCCTACCCTGTTAAGGTACCCGTAGCCGTGCACTCGCACGGTTACGGAGGAGGCTCCAGCGGAGGCTCCGAGAGCTACGGAGGAGGATCCGAAAGCTACGGTGGAGACTACGAGTCCAGTTACGGGGGACACTACTAATCCCTGGAAGACCCCAGCCGACGCCTTCCGGCTATGCGACTATGCCAGGCGTCGCGTTGCTTTTCTATCTCGAAATATGATTGTTAAGGGAAAGTAGCTCTTTCTTTGTTAATGGGCGAGAGCAGAGATTACTCGTAGCAGTCCTTAACATTTGTACTTTCTAAAGAGCAATCACAATAATTATATATAATTCTATCCTGGAAGGTTCGAGGACGCGCCCGAGGGGGATGTATTTATTGTATAATCTGCCTTTTCAGAGTAACGCTGGACCGAGAGCTGGCCGCAGGGTATTTGTACAGCGAACGTTCTCTGCCCGGTCAGCTCTCGCCTCGGCGAATTAGACGGTGGAGTTTCGATATAACTTTTGATACCAGAGTACCTAAGAATACACACTGTATACACGACGCATTGTACAAAGATTCTGTATTGTTCGGCGATCGTAGGCGGCGCGACGAACGCCACTGTACCGTGTCTTTCGCTTCTTTTTAATAAAACCAAAGAGCAAAATCGACGATCCGTTAGTGCCTTCATATCCTCCACGTTCTATCATCGAGTTAGTATTTTTCACCGAATTAACGATACGCGAGGCACGAGTAGGAATTTCTTTCTGCGAGATTTTTCTCTCCAAACTCTCTAGATTACCTTCGCGATAAATTTCCCTATTTTAGAGAAAAAATCTCGCCGTGGAAAAATTCTCTAACCATGCATCGATTATTGATACCCGGAATGCAACAAAGCGAAGAACGGTGCTTTCCTGTTCACGGCTTCTATCGACTCAGTTTCGAAGAGACGTAAACAGCGATGGCTATCGATCGCGAACATAGGCAGCAAATATTATCGATATCCAAGGCTCTTTACCTCTTCTGCGAGACTTATCAAGGGCGCGCGATCGCGTGTTTTCGGGAGTTTCGTAACGCCAGCCCGATGGAAGAGTCGAATCGCGGCTCGAAAGCGGAACTCGGACGATAACATCTTCGATTCCACTTTCCACGACTCGCGTAACGCAACGTCACGGCTGTAACGACGTTGTTTACCGGAAAAGTTCGAAAGTAACGAATTTTTTTCGCCCCGCGAATCCGTTAACACGGAAGCGGGCGCAATTAGCGCAAGAAAAACTGCTCGGGGTAATTAGTCGGGCGAAGTCGAAGGAAAGGGAAACTTTCATCCGGTTCGCTGTGAATAACGAACGAGCCGGTGATCGCGTAACGTTTCTCGATTCGATGATACAGCGATATCCAAAAAATTCGACGTTCCGTGTAAACGTGCGCACGTGCGCCCGCCGTCGTGCGCGGAGAAAGCTTCTTTCTCTTTGGAGGACGGATGATCCGACCAGGGGCTTACAATTGGGAATATCACTGGTGAAATCGTTTGTCGCGGATCGCAACAGGTGGCGAAGTTATACGTTTTCATCGAGGTGGGAGCCCCACGGATAGCCTTTAAGCCTTCGAATCTCATTAGTCATCCTTCGTCAGTGTAAAAGCGTATGACTTCCTTATCAGTGATTTATATCGTACTAGTAACGGGCCTTCCTGGTACAACAAATTAACCTGTCATTTAGCCCTTGAATGCCTTAAGTTTCAAATTTGACACCGGACTTTTAAATCGAATTGCACACTTGCAAAGTTTAAAAAATAAACGTCAGGTGTTAAAATTGTTTAAATAACACATACGTTGATATTTTCTAAAATTTTATTAGGAAAATCAGGCTTCTAAGGGTTAATAGGTATTTATCGTCAACATGATGCTGTCGATTCGAGCTGGATTGGTGGAGGCATGTAAAGGTGATCTGGCAAACCTCCTGCTTTAGACGCGGTTAGAATGTTGCTTCATTAGATCACCAGGAATGGTTTCTGCAAATCACCATCCGGTGATATTTGCGAGAGGGTGTTGCGTAACGTAAGAGTCTCGCTACCACCTAGGGTGTTATTATCGGAAAGAGAGATCAATCTTCGAACGAGTAGCGTTCTTGTTCTTGATTGAGCAAAATCGTTTCACACGTTTCCATCGATCGCGCTACGTGCTCCTTAATCACGAATTAATCATACTTTCTCCCTACAAAAATTGTACAATATTTCCGAACAGCCGTTGCTCGAATTTCGGAGTCTCCTCTTGCGCAAGAACAGAAATTAATCGATAAATCACGACTCACCGTATGTATGGTATGTTCGCAGGAATGTGGTACTTGGAGCCAGGATCAAAGTCGTCCTCCGACCTCAGGACTGGCGGCTTGGTCCCCGTGTATTGTTCCATGAGACGGTGCCAATGACAATTGTAGTCTTCCCTGTTGACGTAACCGCGGAAGACGTCCCACCGCCATCGGTCCATCGCGATGCTGAAAGGCAGCATCACGAGCTTGTCCATCGCTAGCGAAAACAGGTAGTTGATATCCGCTGTCGATTCGTCTATGTACTTGTTGCCCAGTCCCAGAGTTTGAAGGTGGCGAGGGGTCGCGATGCTGAGCGCCACGGCTTCGCCTACAGCCTCGTGGAAACCTGTACCAACGAGTCGATTAGAATCGTTGACGAAGTGCGCGAGATTATAGTCGATGACAAGTTTGCAGTCGCACTCCGCATGGGTGAAATTTGAGTTTTTAACGTGACGTGACCAGTGGACAATTTTGAAAATCTGTTTGTTTGTAGACAGAGGGTATTTACAGAGGTATGCGTAGCACTTTCTAAGCTCTGAAAATTGTGTTCGAGAATAGAGGCGTTAATGCGAGCAAGTGGTGTCGTGGTACTCGACTGATCTTATTAGTCGTTTGATTAGGAGCTCGACTTGATTTATATTCATTTGTAACTTTCTTCGATTCTCGCAATCCTTCTTAGGCTTGAACTTGCTGCACCGTCATCGTTTTTCCTCTTTTTTTTCTGTTCACCTTATTCTCTTGGCTCATTTCGCATTCTTTTTGACGGTCGTTAGACGTTTGTTTTTCAGACCGGTAATTATTGGGGAAAGTAACTGGCATTTAAACGGATTAATTATCGTTGGGTCGAGTTTGCGGAACCAATCGGCGAGTCTTTGGACGTAACTTTAATGCTTCTACGAGTTGAAATCGATCAGGATGTAGTTTAAATTTCTGCGGATCAGTGGTAGCCTGATTCATAGGTCAGACAATTAGTTTGCCTTTCAAAACGATCGAAAGCGATTGCGTATGACGTATATTACGGAGCCCGATGTGCACGGTGGATCTAGAAAAGTGGCTACGGATGAAATTGGAAAAAAAGTTGGTTCGGTATCGGCCAGGATTTCGTGTTGCGTAAGCTAATGGCTCGTAACATTGCTATAATAAAAACGCAATTTATGGGTGAAAAGACGGATTTCTCTCACACCTCGGGAACCACTCAGGGGCATTCTTCATACTTCCTCGCGGTAGGCTACTTCGAACGGCACGCGTTAATCAGCTATCCACGTATGAGAGTTTCTGTAACTCGCACGAAACTACGTGAAATCGACATGTTGGTACAAGAGTACATAAAATTCGTTCCTTTCTCTTTCGTAACCCAAAATAGCCTTCTGTCGATATGAAGTATAAAAAAAAGAATTCGAGGCTCGCGTCAGTTCAGGCATGATATAAAAATTAGTAATTATAATTGGTAAGAAATATTGAGACTGGATGTATCGGTACAGTATAAGGACCAGGAAAAATACTCTAGAAATTAAAGATATTCAAGCTGGTCGAGAGAAATTTAAAAGAAAGTGATCTCCTCGGTGATTCGAACATACATTTGTATTCATTTAAAGCATGTTCCTGCGGTATAAATGTTTCCCACTATCAGCCTCGTCATCGCCAGATAAAACATTTACTTAAATATCTAATTACATAGTCATGGGTATCTAAATTCCTCGCACGTCCTTTCCCCGCGTTGTTTATTTTTAATTTTCGCTTTCATCGCTCCATATTACGTAGTTGTCGTAACTCTACATTCCGCTTCTCTCCAGCCAGAACGTTAGCTTTTTTACACAATGATAAAAGGTCGTTAATCGAGAACGTTTACGTTACACAACCATGCTCTAATGAGACTTGGGTGGGTTAATTCCAATAATTGATGACGAATGAAACCGTGATATAACAATTTATCGCTCCGTGTTTATTCGATTGAACACGTAAAATTTGATTTACTGAAATTTTCACTCGTTGTCCTACGGTATGTCGTTGCTCGCGATTTTGACCTAGGTAGAAGTATTACTTCGATGGTCGAGTATCGTTTCACGAAATTGGTCGATTCCGATTTTACGATGATCGATAAATCGCGCGAGCCAAGGTCGTAGGCATCGTTCGCCATTTGTTTTCATAGCGCGGCTCTCGGAAGGCGAACGACCGCACGCGGGAACGGTGAAAGCGCGATTATACCATAATAAAAATATTTTAACGATCTCCTGTACTGACTGTGGAGAGTACTAGCACATCCACTCGGACACCACGCGAATCCACGTTGACCGTATCGCGCACGCTCTCGCTTTCGCGCTATTACTCGTAAAAGTCCTACCAGTGGACCGCCTACCGGAAGTCGGACGGACCGCTTACGTAACCAACGCGTGTCGTCCATCGGTGCCATCGCTCGTTTCTTTTCCGTGGCGCAGTGGCTCGCCTTTTCCACCTCGCAGGCAGTTTCAAGGAAAATTGAAAACGTCGCGGTAACTTCTCGCCGTACAAATGACTTTCGGCTATCAGGAAGACTCTCTTTAGATCAATGAGACATTTAGGGACGACATAGGTACGTGGAATGCGCTTGAAATTAATGAACGGGCCCCGAATTCTATGCAGAAAAGAATATTTTGCGGGTAGAAATATAGAAATGACGAATTTTACGATTGACACTCCTATTAGAAGAATGATAGGCTAAACTTTACTTCGGGGAACCAAAAATTATTTACTGTTTTGTGATACCATTCAGTAGCTTTTGATGCCTAGATCACAAAAATGAAAGTTTCAATGCGAAGTCGAGCACTTTTGGCGTATTCGACTGATAAATCCGACGCCATTTTTATTCATGCTCCGTTAATGGATTAGGTAGGGAATTACGGATGAAAATGGTAAAACATGTTACGAAAATACCGTCTGAGTAGGTTTGGAGTCTAATTGACCAACAGAAATACGCCAAAAGTGCTCAAGTTTAGATCCAAATAACTTTAAAACCGTTAGATTTTTAACATTAAAACTTAATACTATGAATTCTAAACATTCAGAACTACTAAATGATAAAAAAAAAAAGTCAATAAATTTGAGTGGCCCAAAAGTAAAGTTCAACCGAATGATATGTAATGGTCCGGTACTTCCTTTTTGAAAAGGACGAAAAAGTGTTCGCCAAATAGATTTCACTAAACACGAAATAAAATTTACCTGGATTGGCGCCGTCCCTGAATTCTCGAGGAAGCCCGCTGTATCGCAGGAAGTATTGAATGTGCGCCATCTCGTGGTGCACCGTGATCAAGTCCTTCATGGTGACCTTGGTACACATCTTGATTCTGTTCGCGCCGCGGGTAACCAATTAAAACGGAGATCAGAGAAATCGATTGGCTCGCGACTGATTGTCGAGAATTGAATTGAGGAGTACCATCGTATTACCTGTAGTCCAGGCGATTGCAGAAGTCCCAGGCGGAGGCTTGGCAAATCAGAGGTCGATTTCCGGGGTCGGTGATTATACTTCCTGCCCAGAATTCAGGTGGCATGGCGCTCAGGTTCAAGGACAAGTAGAATTCCTCCGCGATCCTGAACATCTCTATCGGCGTGTAACCCTGAGGAAAATGAAATTAGTCGTGATTTCGCTTAGCGATATTTTCAACGAACATCGAAGTTACGTAACGCGTGTTTCAGGTCCTAATTTCGACGTCGGCGAATAAATTCGTCGTTATCTTTGTCGATGCGTAAACGATTGTTCCTCGAATCCGGCCGATCGTCGTTCCACTTTCAGCGAATTATGAAACAGTGTTGTCGAGTAAGAAAGGTAACGAGAGAACTTTCGCGACGTCATTTCTCTGATTAATAATCCTGACAGTTCGGAGTTCCGCAACGCCCGTAATAAATTACGTTCACAATGGACAATGAAGGGAAAAGAAAAATATCACGATGGAAATAGGCGAGCGAAACACTCCAGAATTTCTCGCATCTTCGTTTACTTCACCGTTACTTTCGAATAATAACTCGACGCGCTGCTTTCGATTCCGCTGTGAAACAATACGCCGCTCGAACTCCATTCATTACGCTACCGAAATTAATTGCGGGGTAAAAATTCCCTCGATAAGAGTTGCTTAACTCGAGGTTCTTACTTGAGCTTGCATTTCCTGGGTGACGTCCACGTAGTTCTTTCCCGGATACGGTATCGTGACGTCGATGATGTTGGTCCACGACTGTCCCCAAATGTTCCCTGTAAATTTAATCGATTCCCTCTTAGCGACGTCAGAATTCATAATTATTGATTATTCTAGTTATTTTAAAATACTCGCGACCGTTGACGTGAATTCTCGTCACTTCAAATTCTATTCCTGGTTACGAAAAAATTACGGAAATCTTTTTGTTTCGTACACTACATATTTGGAACATTGATATTTCCAGCTTCAGAGTTTTATTATTTTCGTATTCTCGTCACGTAGGAACGGAAAGTATGTGCCGGTCGCGAATGTGTTAAAATTGTCCAGATTTCATTTCTCATTCCGAGTTCGATATCGTACCAAGTATGTGCGCTGGAAGAGGAGCATGAGAGCCTATCTTCTCCGGTCCGTACAAATCTCTCAGTTTTCTTCGGACGTACGAGTGCAACTCCTCGTAGAGTGGTCTTATCATCTCCCAAACCTCTTCTATGTCTTGTTGCAGGTTTGGGGACTCGTAGGGGAACATCCAGTACTCGGCTGCGTCGGTGAAGTCTGCGCGAAGGAATCGTTGTTTTAACGACTTCTACTAAACAATTATCTTTTAACAGTGGCCTTTAACTTACTATTCAATCGAGCAGCTTCGTTGTTTAGAGTGACGAGCTGCTGATAGAGATCTTTGATCCTCATGCCACTGCGTCTTCTCCACTCCGTCCAGACGTACTGCAGCTCGTCCCAGTTTCTACTCCTTGCCATAATCTGGGATACATCTGAAAAAATAAGCCGTTCGTTAGAATGGAAAATTGAAATTATGGTTCGTGGTATAATTCATTCGATCGGACAGTTATTCGCATAATCTTGTATAAATCACATCGGTACAATTCGAAACCATAACACAGCCTTTCCTTATCTTGAAATTGAGGCGCGTGCTGCAGTAAGGAGACAGCTCCATTTTGTTATGGTTTTGAGGTCAGAACATAATCACGGATTTAAAAAATTCCTTTTTTCCGTGGTGTAATAAGGAGGTAGCTTCGGTCACTGGAAAAACTGATGATGTCGATTTAACGGAGACAGAGCAGGAAGAAGATTTTTGTTCGAAAGTAAATTTTGTTCTCTTTACTCGAAAAATCCTTTAAGTTTCAGGTATTTTTTAGAACGGGATGCAATAAGGAGCCAGCTCCATCCACCACTCGGAAAGAGAAGGCTGGAATCCGGAACGACGTAATTTCGTAATTAGATACCTATGCTATGGTATGAAAAAGAATAGGAAAAGAAAATTTGAAAAATCTGAATTTTAAAACGTTTCTTTTAATTTCTCAGGTATTTGAAGAAATGGAGCTGCCTCCTTATTGATTCATACCCCTCGATCGAAGGAAATATATGGATACAATTTTTCTAAATTGCTCGTCCTTTACCCACAATGACTTTACCGATGATAACTCGCTTATCCCCGATTAGCGAGCGTTTTCACTCGGGACGGACACGCGCTCGAGCGGCTTTCACGATAATCGCGCGATCAATTTGTCTCAGATGGTTTCTCGCGACACGTGTGTGATCTAAGCCTGAATGGAAAGCGAGTTACCGCAGCGATTACGGTTGCGACGATCGCGAAACGACCGTCAGGGTTTCTCGTCTCGGTACCAAAGTCTCCGGAGAGGAAGGCTCTCGAGTTTCGCGTCCTCTTTTGCCTCTCCAGTTCATTACGTTCCGTGCTATGAAATCGCGTTACGTGTTCGTCCTTCTGTCGTCGACGATCCGTGACAGAGTGATTCTTCATGGGCGTGGAAAAATGCGAGAAAAACTTTCCGTGCATGTAATTTAAGGTTGATCCAATTTATTATTTTTATCGATGCCTCGCAGTCGCCATCGTCACGGAATAGAGAATCGAAGAGGGCTAAAATTCCCAATTTCCAAACCTGTCTTCAAGTCCCGGAGCCTCCTTAGAAAATAACTTCGACAGAAACACGAGTAAATTCTTCGAAATGGATTCCAAATGAGAAACTTCATAGCAACTATTTCTACTGAAACTGTTCCCAGGAAAACTGTTCACAGCCTGGTAAAACGCGAATACATAAACGTGCAAAGGTCGAAATTGGAATGTTAAGTAGTTCCTTTAAAAGAAAAACGTTCAAATATCATCCACTATTTGGGGCTTTAAAGTAGACAGGCACGTTAAGAGATTACCCGTTGCTACGTGTTACACGTTTGGTCTGTTACAGATAGAATCTGCAGTAAATGAGGCGTAAACCGAACATGACTGTTCAGAAGATCGTAAACTTCCGTGTTGCCGTGGTAGCGTGGTCTTTCGGCGTTGATTGCTCTCGCGCAGTTTTACGAGCGGTCGTTTAGACGTTTGAAAATCACCATGCACGACTGCGTAACACGATGGAGTCGGTTAGTTTCCGATTTGTCCTAGCGATCATCGATTAGTGTCCAACAGGTTTTCCTTTCTAGGGACAGGGAACGGTTTCATTTTTGTTTTATTCGAGACTAAAGATTGCCTCGTTTGGTGTCAGGAATTCTCAAGAACTGAGTTGCATGGGAGATGTTAATATCTGTCATTAGACCAGGTCGTCCGAAAATGCACGGTGCAGTTAATATCTACCGAAACGAGGGAGAAAACAACGGATCACAGAAGAAAGAAAAAAGAAAACAACCGAGCAGACCATCCACGGTAAATTAACTGCCACTGAATTTTCATGAACGCGTTCCGACGCAGTTGGTGAAATATTCAAACGTTCGATCGCGCTTTTACGATCAGAGAGGCACTTTCTTGCGCGTAATACTTAAACGCGTTCCACGTGCAATTTCGCCGTCCGGCAGCCGTGAAAATCGGTATCTTGTTTTGTTTTCTCGTTAGAGGGACGGGAGGCTAGGGGCACGCGTTACTCATTACCTGGATACAAGCGCAGACCACACCGGAAGGGATCGTTGTACGCGCAAATGCTCGCCTCGTTGTACACCGCCAGCATGTCGTTGATCACACGATTGTACTGAAAAAATTACCAGCGATTAAGTTCGTTATTTCTGCGCGATTAAAAGGAACGATTATCAAAGAGGAAAAAAAAAAGGAAAACAATCCAGCGAACATTAAAACGGAACAGTCAAAGGTCTAGATTACAATACTTTCCTTCCTTATGGGTTGGAAAGTAATAAACGAAACGCTATCGAAAACGTTTCCGTGCGATGCAAAAAGGATACGCGTAACGCGTTGTTTCCTACATCCCTTTTTTCTCTGTTTTCCACGGTTCCCGTAAGTATTTGTACTGCACTCTCCTATTATGCGTAGGAAGGAAATCTATTCTCCGACCTTACTTCCTGCTATGCTTCGCTTACTCGGATTTCAAATAAATTCAACCGAGTTAACGCCAAGTCGGAAATGGTGATTCGAATAAATATTCAATCAAGGTTTTGAGACACTCTTTTCCATTCTTGCTCATACCTTGCTCCTTAATAAAGACAATTCATCGGTACAGTAAGCACTATAAATGTTAGGGGGACCGAAAAGTAATCAAAATTTTATCAAAATTTTTTTTTATAAAGAAATCTTAAATACTAGTCGACAAAATAATTTCTATAATTTTCTAACACTTCTTGCCATCGAAGGTCGATTCCCTTTTTAAAGAAATCCTTCGACTTTTCATTGAAAAACTTTTCCAAGTCGAAGACATTTTAATTACTTTTCGGTCACCCTAGTATAATATTCTTTAATTTAGATCTGTTCGTACAGTGTTCATTAAGAAAATGCACAAATGATAATGGAATTACAAAAGCCTTATCATTTGAATTCTACGCGGGCTCCTTTTATTTCTACACGAGAAAGTTTTCCTTCTTTAACAATTCCCTCGTGTTTGATCCTTTCAGACCTGAATTATTTTTTTTCTCGTACTAACGTGACTTAATTTTTAGAGTCAGCTTGGACTAAAATTAGTATGAAAAAAAATCAAAGAAAAATCCGAGTGCAATTTTCGAGGAAGGTTCTCCTAAGGTAATTTTTAAATGTTGTGGACGCCAAGTCTGAAAGAGTCAACGAACTGATTCCTGATGTTTACCCTGTCCAGCTGGTCAGGTGGAAGCGCCGAGGGTCCAACCACGGACAAGTACCTGAGCCGTCGCGCGATCACAGGATCCCTGATATTGTTTCTGTCGATCCTCGATATCAGGAACCAGGCCTGGTTCTGAAAGTCGGCGTATATACGTTGCGCCTCCAGCTGCAACAGACCACGGAATCATTTATCTTTCGCGAGGAACTCGTTACTCGCGGTGATTTTGTTGCTCGCATGTTGGACACTGTGTAGGATAAAAGCGTAACGCGTAATCTATTAGCAGGTGACTGCTCGCGCGGAACTGGTTCGAAGCGCAAATCGACCAACGACGGTCGGTTTTACCGTTACAGATAAAACGGTATCACCCTTGCCTGGATCGCCGATAGAAGACCTGTCGAAGGAAAGGGAAACGCGTTAGAAAACTCGACGACCGAGCACTCTGGGGACATATTTTGTCGGACATTAAGAAACGAGAAATTCTTCTTGTCGGTCAAAAAAGAAGAGAAAAGGTAGTCGAAAAGGAAAGAAAATAAAATTGGTGTATTGAGTTTCCAAGTCAAACAGGACTCTGGGTACGGCTTGTAATTTATTCCTAATGACTCAGTGCTTTGAGTATTTGGATTAAAAAAAAAAAAAAAAAAGAAATATAACGGTATAGTCTCTTCAGCATTTAGTGCGAGAAGGGCCCGAGGCGCTTTTACTAAAATTCACGCGAGAGCTATAAAAGTCCATCGGCATTTTTCGCAACGTCGCGTCGTCTGGATACGGGAAAAGAACGAAAACAGAAGCGAGCCTCGATGGGCAACTATCGTCATTAGCATCACGCGAGCTCACGTTAGCGGATTTCGCGTTGAAGGCTGAAGATTTCTGTTCTCGTCATTCGGCCATTACGAAATCGTTCGGGACGTCGTCACAATAGCTGGGAACGGTTCCCGCGGAGGTGTTCGGCCCCTCGACGGACAATAAAGGGTTCCCCGCGCGGGTGAAATCCCCGTGGAGGCGAAATCAGCAGCGTCCAGGTGGAGATGGAACGGTAGAAGCGCGACGAGGGTCTCTCACGGGCCGATTCGTAGAGGAGGTCGAGGTCCTGCGCTGCCAGTTCCGTCGAGACACGTCGAACGATCAGAATGGCCAGCACGTACACCAGCGACGATTGTAATTGTCGCGATGATCGAATTACGCATGGGGCTGTTTGATCAACTCCTCTGTTTTCGAATGCTCGAACTTTCAGACGATGAATGATGTCGATGTTTAGCTCGAAATAGTTGAATTTAAATATCTTAACCAGTCGGTTGTGGCGCCGCCTTTTGAAAGCGTGAACCTACATACAGGGTGACCCAGAATCAGTGTAAGAACTGGAAAGAGGGGGGTAGCAGAGACGATTCTGAGCCATAATTTCCTTTGCAAAAATGCCGGATGGTGCTTCGTTTTTGAATTATTAACGAAAAACTACCGACCAATCACAGCGCCCGAGTAGCGTGCTTACACCAATTCTAGGACACCCTGTATATGTCTCGCGTAAATCGAGCAATCACAGAGTGAGTGTCGTTGTTAATATTTTGGATCAAAATGATGGGTTTATCTTATAAAATTAACAATTACAATACTAATGTTTACTTATTTGGATAGCATAAACATATGTTACGTACATATTAAACGGGAAACTAAAGTAACTAAATTTTCACTCGTGACGAGTATAGTCTCGTCAACACAGCCGACTGGTTAAAATGTGAGACTCGTGTAGGTCTATCGTTTAGTAGTAGATTCCTTGATAGCTTGGGTGTTACGGAAGTTTTTTAGGATTTTCGTAATGACTTAGTATGGGTCAGAAGTACAGGTGGAGTAATTAGAGAGGTAGAACGATAAGAGCATCTGTGGGCTCCATTTTTCGGCTATCGGAACGCTGGAAAGTTCGTATCTGAGTAGAGTGCCACGCATGCGGGTGTTTCGGCCACGAATTCACCAGGACCCACTATCTTCTTGTACAGTTAGAGCTTTCTAAAGTATCGAATAAAAATGTACCTTCCACGAGGCAATGATGGTAGCCGAATTAAGTCTATGTTGATTAGTATCCTGTAGATGTTCAATGTGAAAACCTTCGCACGAATGACTTAAATATGTAGTTATGGTATTTCGTATTCACCGCTTGCAACTGCGTGTACTCGTTCACGTCCGTCTCGTATGCCCACTGTCCTGCAACGTTGGCACTGCATCTTTCAGTGCCAAGGAAGTCCAGCCTCGCCAAAATATCTTGCAATTCTATTTCCGTGGGGGGATATTGTCTTCCCAAGTTGTTGCGCAGATCATCTCCCAACGATGGTAAATCCAGCTGGCCTGAGACCAGGGAGAACAGGGCGAGGAGAACCCAGGTAGACATCGCCTGCAAATATGTGCATCTGTTAAAGTAATTACCCCGATTCTGTAGGTTTCTTAATTTATTATAGATTTCCAAAATCGCTTCTCAACTCCACATTGCACAGTTTGATTGATCGCCAAGAAAAATGAACACGTTAATTGCCACATGAATAGTTTTGTCTTCAGACAATTGAAACCTACGTAATCTAACGTTATAAGTTATAACGTTATCAAAGTTCACGAGCTCTAACCAAATTTATTTTCTTTAACGTCTTACTACATCTTCCAAATTACGTTATTTAGTGCCATAGTGAAAAGCCCTGTCACCCTCACGTGGCTGGCTGTGTCGCGACTGGTAAACAGCGATCCCTATCATTAAAAAAAAATATAAACAATGACGTGTTCGTTAGGACGAGTTTACGTTCGTCAACAACTCTCGTTAAATTGACTTTTTCCTTTAGAGCTACTCACGTAGCGAAGCAGGTAATGGTAGCAGCACAATTTAAAGTAACGAGAGAACCCCGGTCAATTTAACCGTAGACTATTACGTTGCCGCAAGAAATTATATTGTTTTCATAAATCGTGCCACGACGGCGTCGCGAGCAGAGCGTTTACATGCAATTCATTTGTTGACTTCACGGTCACGTGTTACGTCTTTGCGTTACGTATTTCCTCGCAGCATGAAAGGCTGTTCGCTGCACGCCAGTAGGTCATCCGCGATCGCATCGAGATCCTGCGACCTTGAACGTTCGATGGTTAAACTGGATCCGATCGTGACACGTGAAAACGACGCGTGGGAAACTTACGTTCGCGCGACGTTACGAACACTATTATATGACCTCGTCATCTCGCCAACTTCCGCTACACTTTTCCACCCCCTTCAAAAATAGCCGATCGAGCGTAATCGAGAAAATTTTCTACTGCCACTGGAAAGACTTGGACGGATCTTAAATATAGCGTAGAGTGTACGAAATTAGGAGGATTTTAAGTCGTCGTTTTTAAGTTTCGCAATTGTTTAGAAACTGTGCGTTCCCGAGATCTACGGAGCTTCCAACCGTTTTCGTGAAATGCATCTTTACACACGAATTTCGATCTCGAAGATTATCGAAGATAGAGACTCTTTTGATTACAAATTTTCTTTGGTCGAAAGCACGCTTTCTCTTATGCACTCTCAACCCTAAAAGAAGGATACCTGTAGAAGAATTCTTAATTTTCGAACAGAAGATATCCCAAATCTTCATAAACAGTAGAGTCGCAAATTCTATCTATGGTTTCCACACACACACACACACACACACACATCCACTTCCAGAAAGAAGAAGCACAAAATCGTCTCACAAGGGGTTCACCAATTTGTCAGCCTGTGCGACCGTTATTCACACCTTTAGCAACCCTGTACACTTTCACCCTCGACATCTACGATCCCAGATCCCTACCAACCCCTTCACAATTCTATTCGTTCGAGAGATTCTCCAAGAGGACGTTCGCCAAGATCCCTTTTCCTCCTGAGAAGTTTTCGGGGATGAAAGTCGCTGTTCGCGAGTGAAAGAGGGAGAGACTTACGAGTTCTCTCATCCCCCAGGTCCGGCGCGCTCGAGCGTGGTACTCCTGATTCGGTGAGAAGCTGTATAGATCCTCGATCCGCACAGGTGATCGCGGGGTGGCTCGAAGACACAAGGATGAAACGCGACGACAAGTGACGAGCGACGGATCCGTTCTGGAGTCGCTAAAAGCCTCGTGGTCGATGGCAAGTGTACATTTATCCCTGCGTAGCTGTTCGTACGCGACCACAGGGAGGTCAACCGTAGCGAGAGGTGGGGATCCATGCACACCTCGGTGTCGTCGTCGAAGCAACGACGTCTTAGCCTCTGTAAGCGCGTGGGGGAATGGAAATGCTTGGAAAATGGGAGGAAGAGGCCCGACCCTAACCCACAGACGAGTTTTGGATCAACCTGTCGCGGTGGACGAGATAGTTGCCTGTCACCGATTGGACGATCTCAATTTTATCCATTTTCACCCTTGGAAGACTGCAAATGGCTCGAATCGAAACACCGAAGGAGTTTACGGGAGCCATCGGATGGTGGACGGAAGGGAAAGTAACCCATTTTCAATTCTGCGTGGAAAATTAATTGGAAGAATTGTTACGCGACGCAGAGAAGGCGCGTGCCCGTCGAGTAGACAATGAGGCTCATTGAGAGGTGCTCGCGAGGAGCACGACGACGCTTGTCAACGTGAGAGCTTCAGGACTTTCGCAATTGGCGAGCTGGTTGGCCCTCGATTCCGTTTCTGTGCCTTCCGAACGTTCCACTCTTCTGCGTACTCTCCTCGCTGTCGATTCTAATTTTCCTCTGGTGTCGCCACAGCTGAGAGTTCTTGATTATTCGTTTGTCGAGGCCCTTTTGATTCCACTAAAAGCGCCAGAGTGTTGGAAAATTCGCTTAACAGAACCCATGGGCGAGCTCTATCCACATGTAACGTTGCTTTAACTTCCACGACCCATTTCCTTTCCGAGCCACTGTACCCATTTCAATCAAATTTTGATTGAGTACTCTACTGCGATTTTTGTGATCTCGCGGGACTCTGGCAGCTTCGAGGGAGGATATTTCGAGTAAGGACATTGATTTGAACTGAAAGGGTTCGACCAGCTATCAATCAAAATAACGACGGAGGAAAGATAAATCGAGGCTCCCTGGGTGATTGATCGAGGAGAATACGCTGAGATGAAGCGTAGTTAGGAGAGTTGCGCAACTTCACAATCACATCACGTCTTCCCTCATGCTTGACATTATCATGTAGCTCTTCTCGTGCAAAGTTCCTCCTTTTAAATAGACCCTGTATCGTATTACCCATAAAACGATTCAGGTTAATCGATGTCTACGCATAGTCAACAAAGTTATTTCAAGATATCCCAAAACTTTACGCTGGAAATGTACGATTCACGGTACGATTCGTCTCATCGGCGTATATAAAATCGATCGTCGAATTACACGAAGGCGAAAAAAGTGTGACTCGTTCATAGCGAAATGATTCATCGTGCGTTCGTCTAATTGCGCAATTATCTTTGAGAGCTAATCTCATCGATGCCACTTCCTGCTTCGCCCGTCTACCTGCCTATCCTGAGAATTCAAGCGCCATTGTGTCACCATCGCCATAAGCCTTTAATTCGAATCGTGATTCATAATTTTGCAAGTTTTAATGACGTGGGAAGCCATCGGAGCAGAATTATACGTTCGTTCGCCGCGTTGATAGTCATCGTTTCGGAGGAGCTTTCGAGATTAATCGAGATCTTCCGTTGCACGCGTCCTCCTCGAGTGATTCACGAATTGATACTTAAATTATATTTTCATGACGTTACAGAATTACGACTATAACAGGAATCGCGAGTTCCCCGATGCTTTGGTAGAAAGAGGTAATAAATTCAATGTTCTTATTTGATTTGCGTACACATACTCCGTGTCACGTTTTTTTAAAATATTCTTTTGCTTCTCTGGACGCAACTCTGACTCCTCGTACCAAGTGCCAAAGACCGAATCTTCTGCGATTCTGTTTCAACGCGAACGAGTCACTATATGTAACTGTTACCTTATCGACCAAAAATTAGATCAATCGCGTACTTTCGAAGCTAGAGAACCGTGGGAAACAGTGCAAAGCGAAATCATCGATAAATATTCACCGCGAAGACTCGTCCAAGGTGATCGTCGCGACGGCCACCGGTTTGCACTCGTTTTCATCGCGGTCCGGTCGTGAAACGCGTCCGCGCGTGATGCATAACAACAGTGACTAAACTACGGCTCATTCATCGCCATGAAAATCATAATCAACCGCGCCCTGACAGCGAAAGAACGAGGATAAGTCTCACGATGATCTCGAGCGCGTATACACGCTGTTAGCTGTGTCTTATAGGCCAGTTCACCAGGCCTTGAGTCGATGCGCGGCTCTCGCCGTATGCATACGTTTTGTGCACGTTGTATTCCGTATAACTAGAGGTATTTGCATTTGCACAACGTGCCAATAGCGGAGATTCCTTACTAAACAATCCTTTGTGTTCTCGTTGCTCAGAAATACGAGTTACGCCGGACTAGAGAATTATATTTAATTATTTTATTCGTGAAGTATTAGGCAGTCATCGTCAACCACTTCAATCTCTTCGCCCTCGGAAGCCTCGATCAATTCAATTTCCTAACTTGGATTATATTCCCTCCGCATCGTAATCTTTCGAAAACCGCGCAACGATTTCGATGGGTTGAATAATTGTTCTCCGTCCCACCGAATACGAAGCGCAATTAAGTTTGTCGAGCGCGTAGCCAATTACCGTCGGTGACTTCGCTGACGAAATTGAATTAACACCGAGAAGGACAGGACGAATTCAGGTTTCAATGCCGCGCGTAAAAGCAGATGCTCGCTACGTATGCGTGCAATACGCAATCGCTCAGGTGGTTTTCAGTTTTGAAAGCGCGCCCCGGCTCCCAGCGTGCCGCTTCGACAATGCTAATCTCATCTAGAGATAATGGGTGCACCGGTCCCACGTACCGGCCGCAATTCTGGGTTCAAGTACGCCGACGTTTACGCGGCTCAGCCGTGCGTTTCTTCAGCCTTCTTTTCTAGCCACAGCTTGGAAGATACGAAGCATTATTCTCGTGAAAAATATCATCCTAGGTCTTTTCAAGTTACTCTCTTCACGTTCCTAAATGTTTAGCAATTTTTCAATTTCTTATTAAGATTGTAATAAACTTTGCGTTGGAAATGAACGAACCTTTGGACTTCCCCAGGCTTCTTTGCCTGGCACAGCTTGGAAGGTAAAAGATATTATTCTCGTGAAAAATATCATCCTAGGTCTTTTGACGTACTCCCTTCACGTTTCTAGATGTTCAGGAATTTTTCAATTTCTTGTTAAGATTGTAATAAATCCTGCGGACTTCTTCAACCTTCTTCGCCTGGCACAGCTTGGAAGGTAAAAGATATTATTCTCGTGAAGAATATCATTCTAGGTCTTTTGAAGTTACTCTCTTCACGTTCCTAAATGTTATGTGATGTTTCAATTTCTTATTAAGATTGTAATAAACCTTGCGTTGGAAATGAACGAACATCCTCATTCGGACTTAAATTCTTCTTCAGTTTGCCATCTTCTTGTAATCCATTCGAAGCACCTGACGTAAAAACCTTCGAGCACAATACACACCAGTTCTATTAAAAATTTTTACCCATATTTTTGTTCCTTCCTTGATATTTCCCATTGTTAATTTCAGACAATTGACCCTGGATGACGCAAATCGTTGTTCTGTCCTACAACAAACATTGACCTACTTCTGTTTGATACAATACCTTTCTTTTCCCGACTGTCTTCGGCATTGTCGGGCGATTGAAGTAGGATAGTAGAAAACGACTGTGTATGCGAGGCAATTTAGCAATTATAATTTAATACGGAGCGAAGTCGCAGGGACTAATTGAGAGAAGCTTCCATTTTAATCGTCCCAACTACGAGACATACAAGCAGACCTCGTGAATGAAAGACGTCGACTTCCATTTTTTTTTCAGACAACGAAAGTAAAGACGAGCTATTGGAATAGGTTTCAATAGGAACGATGTTAAAAGGCGTTTAAAGGGCTTTCGGGTGTCCCGGTGACGCATGAAAAAAAACACTTCCTACCGACAAACATCACTCGAGCACGCATGTCGGTTTGCAAATCCTCACGTAGCATCGAGAGACAATCGCGTTGCAATCGTAATTGCACGCCAGAAACCGGCAATCGTCGTTCTTATTATAAACCGACCGATGAAACGTGGGAAAGCTGCGATACACGTTACCGGTATTACGCGAGCGCGCTCAGGAATTATTCGAAGCGGTTCGCTACGACTGCGGCAAGGTCGATCGGTTAAATAACCGGAATCTTTTTCGTTAGTAGCCCCCACGAATCCTTCCATATCCCTTTCGTGATCTCGCGTTGATGATAACGAGCGTAGGATGTGAGTCATTTGCAGAATTTGAATAATCGTTCCCGAGGAAAATGACTGGAAAAGTCGAAGAACGAGCCGTGGAAACTGAATTAAACGAAGGAATCGAATCGCGATTCTGTTGGCACCCGAGATGGAGGTAAAGATGAACCTCGACGCGTGGGACAAGATATTTAAACAACGAGGGCAATGGGGAAACAGACGTCGCAGACGTGATAGATTTATGAATCGTATGCAGACACGCGATTCTCAAGGCAATCATTCTCGGTTTCATTTTCGCCGGTGTTTGAAATTTAAATGAGGAAGTAGCGCTTACCTTCGAACGAGCGCCGCGCTGAGGTAAACGGAGACTGCCCGTGGGCATTTCGTCGTTTCTGGAGAACGAGCCAATTCGAGGATGGTCTGTAACACGAGCCAGACTGACAATTTAACGACTTGATCTTCGTTGACGCTTGGAAAATACGCGGTTTTCCGATCTCTTTGTCCATCTTCGACTTGGCAAGAATTTTAATTTCGCGTTATTAATCGTATATCTAGAAATAACAAAAACAACCGAACATATATTGGGTTGTCTGGAGCATGTCGATTTTTGGTAGGTGGTACAGGTCTGAATATTACACTGCGGATTCTTACGCATTTACAGAAAATTTTAACGTGAGAGAAGCTATAGCATGCCCACAGTATGCAATAATATAAAAAGATATCGAAAGTAAAATTCATATTGTAATATTTGCAGAGTAAAATAAATTCCTACTTAGGTTAAATTCTCCTACGTACGTTTATACAAATTTTATTTTGCATATAGATCCCCACTCTAATAATAACATATCGGAATTGTTGAAAACAAATAATACCTACACATTCCTTGAAAGGTGAAAAGGTTGTGAAACAAAATGGTACTTATGTAATCCAATAAATATGTATCAAAATTCAAACGTGCCTTTGAATTTTTCTTAAAAATTGCCACGAACTTTCTAGACAACCTAATATTATATTTAAGTAGAATTGAAGCGATCCGTCGTGGATTATGCGTGAAAGCAACGCCAGTCCAAGTCGAAGAAGACCTATATTAATTCCAAGTACGGTGTTTAGGAAAAGGCAGGGGAACACGCGACACATCTTTCCAATTCTGCGTATCGCGTAACGCAACGTTGCACACGACTTTTCGGCTTCCTTACTTAAAGCGGTTTTCTCCGTATTACGCAGTCATTAACAACATTGCGCATTGTCGCTCGTGCGTACATACTATCCACCTGAGTCCCGTCGATTGAGCAACGTTCAACCTTACTCCGCGCGTATGCTACCGCTGACGTTGAATAAAATCGACGTATATGTTAATACGAACCGATTCTTCCTCCGATTGTCCTCGGACCTTCGAGTTCTGGCTCGAGGTCGGTGCACAGGTAGGGAACTCGAAGTGGACAGGTGTCTTCGAAGAAGAACGTTAATGGATGGGTCGCTACACTTCCCAACACGTGTTGAGTATTGCCTCGGAGGATTGGAATGGAAACAAGGAACGATACAGTCCACATAGATCGGATGGTAATAAAATAAACGATGGAAGGCTTGACAAAAAAAGAGCTCGACGATGAACATCGAGGAAAAGTAGAGCATCGAAGTTTCCATACATCTCTATCTACAATTTATTAGTTTTGTATACGCTGCAAGAGGCCCGAAACCTGGAGTCGAAAACATCCCGATAAACCTAGCTCGGACTTCGCATTATAAATCGGAAAGCAAGCCATCGAATCGATCCTAAACGTACATCTACAAATTACGTACCAGGGACGTTACCATTATTAATATCATTAAAGTGTCGGAACGCTAACTATGATCGCGTAACGTAGTGTTTGGATTAGCAGCGACACCAGACGCGATAGCCTCAGGCTTATCGTCGATCTGGACTCGGCGTAATTAGAATAATTATTAATTGTCGATACGATCAGCGCGAGAGGAAGGCACGTTACTTACAACCGAGTCGGAGCTGTGCGTATCCTGCGAGGTTGCACAACAAAATGAACCACCCGGCGCGTCTGATAAAAGAGCCGAGGACGCGGTTGAACGCAGATTTTATTCAAGATCCTCGAACGTCACCGCAACTGAGAATTCATTCTCAGCTGGATCGTCTTCCTCGATTCATTTATCACGCAGAGCTTCCTGCTGAGTTCCAGATCGTTTTTTCTTCTGACATTAAAAATTTAATGGAACGCTAGTTCCTCGAACGGCAATTATCCACAAGCTACCAATTACGAGAATGTTACCCTAACACTCGATTATACGTGCAGGCACACGTATAATTAGAAACTTTTGTACTCTAGGCGAGAAATTAGATTTCCTGAATAATCGAGCAGGTATGCAATTATGCCATTACTAAACGTACGCAGGTACATTGGTACTATTTAGGTATGTAGGTAGATGTAACGATAACTCTTGGTTCCATTGATATATCGCAAGAGAATAACAGTTGCACATGATTCATAAGACTAACAAATGGGCCTCCACTCAAATCACGTAATCAGTGTTTTACGAAATGCAAATATTTACTGCGGATAATTATAGATCAGAATTTGTTTAGAACACTTTAGTTACCCTATATTGCAGGATCTGCATATTTAGGAGAACAGAGAAAACTTGGGAACAGCTATACTCCGAGGACGTGTCCCAAAGTGAATAAGTAACATTCTCTTTTAAGTGGAGATTAGCATCGCGACATCGTGCCTCATTTCGGAATTATACGACCTCTAACGTGCCCGTTAAATTGGTTAGAAAATTTACAGACTTTGCGCACACGCAAGAGTTGGAGAGATTGAAAATCAAGTGACGAGATATCTCACGACTAATTGCTCACGACCTGCTGCACCATACTTAATGATTTCCCGTAACGGGACATTTTTTTTCTCGGAAAACCCCTTCATTGGTTTGTGACGCACTAAGGGCCAATTGTAACGGGACATATTTACTCTGTTACTACAAAAAGATACTATAAAAAGATCTTCAATCTTAATAGCATCCAATTAAATTCGTGACAGAATAATCGCACTGGCTTGTTTCATCATTTTTCTTCTGCTGAAGAAATCATAATGCTTAAATTTAGCGCGCACTATGCGTGACGGAGGACTGGATTTGAATTGTTTCTACTCGGAACCATCTATGTGGGTTGCCTTCATGCAAAATGAAACCTGTTGTACAGTATCGACTACCGGTAACAATGCAATGATTTTACCATGGAAGAGTCGAAACACTCCAGGCAACTGTATTTCAAAATTGTATTCTATACCAGAGGCAAGGTGTAGCGACGACTTATCATCGAGAAAGATTAGAAAGTTTAGGAGGTTCAGATATCGATAGTTTCCAAGACAAAGACTCTTGATATATTTAATTCCAGTTCCTCGCACTAGTAACGTTACAATCGTGTTTCATACACGATCGATAACGTTGGGAGTTATTCGAAAATGATAAGACGACCTTGACCCTGAGTTGCATAACACGTTCTTCCACTAGGAGTGCTACTGGTCCATTTCTGTCTTGTATCATTTCTGTGATTCATTCTCAGTACCTTCAGAGCGTCGTCGATGAAGTAGGAACGCGTTTCACTAACAGTTGGTAACAGAGATTCCCTCCACGGCGCTGGATTTCAAAACATCTTGTCGACACAATCTACTTTACAATTTCCTCGCTCGTTGAAAGGGCTTGAGAGAATTACGAAGCTGTCAGCTCCAGACAGGATAGTTATTTAGTCGAACGAGATATTACAGTCTCCACCCTGATTCCTCGATTGCAGTGATCTGTACGAGCACAGCCTCCGGACTGTCGCAACCGTTCAAGTCAAAGTGTGGAGCATACACCTAATGGAATGTGCTGTTACGCAAATTTAGACAGTTCGGACCGGCCTCTCGATTTCCTCGAGCAAATTATTTCACTTACCGGAACGCGACCGAATGCGATCATGTTTTTGCTCCACGTAGCGAGCCTTGGACTTGTTGTTGCAATCATTTTTGCGTTTTCACTCTTTTCTCGTTTCGCGTTTTTTGCGTCCGCTTGACGCGTGAAATTTTTCGCGTATTTTGAGATCGTCTAAAATCGGTCAAATTCTAAATTTCGGAAACAGCTCGCTAAATGTAAGTCCTTCTCGATTGGTCACAGTAGATTGGAAGTTCGATAAATCGCAATCAAAGGAACTCGACGAGGTCGCGGTTCCATTTTCGAAGCAGGTCTTGATTTAACGTTTCCGGCAGATCGGCTGGTGCCATTTTTCGCTTCTCTTTATGACCCGTCCCGCAATTTGCGTGTCATAAACCAACCGCCTCTGGCAAAAATTCCTAACCGATTTTCCACGATCCCTGCCGACTTTCTACGCCAGCGAATCGTAATCGTAACGTCGAAGACGTAATTTCGTTCTCCGCAAACTACAATTAGTCTGTTTATTCTTTGCGTGTGAAGCTCGTAACGATGCGTGCATTGTATAATGTCAACGATTGGTACAGCTCTCAAGACCAACGATTTTCTATCTTATCGAACGGCTCGATATTTTTATTAACAGGCACGAGAGTGTATAGAATGATATTCTTGCTGCGGCTGGTTGACACGAAAGTCGCTTGTTTCCGTGGAGGCACGTGGTTCGCGAGGCCTGAAAACACGGTCGCATAACACACGGGAATCAGGTTAATTCGCTCGCAGCACGGCCTACCCGTGGGCCCTGAGACGACGTTACGTCAGTCCTTCGATCGTAGCGAGTCCCGTTCGGCGTCGACTGAGAAATTTATTAGAATGATGCTTCAATGGGTTATCTGGTTGACAGAAGTGGGTGAAATTTCATTCGAATATCAGGTAACCGATAAAGTCAACCTATAGTAATTTATTCGGGACGTTAATTCCATTGGGCAATCACATTTCTCAAACTGGTAGCGATTCTACTTGTCTCTACTTGCAATAAACGTTGATATCGGGTCTTACAATCGGTGTGAATATATTAGTTTGTCTGGAAAGTCCGTGCCGATTTTTGGTAGGTGGTACACGTCTGTTTATATTGGAATGGTTGAATACAATTAACAATTGGGCGCATTCCTTAAAAGGTGGAAAGGTCGTGGAACAAAATGGTATTTATATAATTCAATAAATATACAGTCAGTGTAATAAGTATTCGTACAGGAACCATTTATTTTAAATTAATTTTTATTCAAATGTGCCTTTGAATTTTTCTTAAAAATTGGCACGAACTTTCTGGACAAGCCAATACATCAACGACGTAATTGCTCACGGAATGAAAATAATCGACCAGCATCTGAATTGTTCGTGGATCTCCAGCGGGTAACAGTAACTCGCGCGACTTCCTCAACGTTTTTACTTTCCGCGATTGCTGGACGGTTAAATGAAATTACCATACGGTACGGAGGATGAAAAAG